ACTATTAAATTAAAGTTTTACTAAAAATTAAATCTCAGTTTTTATTATACACACACTCACACGCGCACACGTACGCACACACATATATATACATCTTAAAACACTATAACGGACATAAGTTTATTACAATGCATTGCTGTCAGAAGTTGTATGCGCTTCATCAGTTAATCAGTTAACAGTTTCAAGGCTAAGCTTGGTGCAGAAATTTCAAATAATCCGCATAAGTATCGAGATTATAAATACATACATAATACATATAAATAAATACTACATTATTAGATATAAATAAATATAAATTATTTATATGTAATACTATATCATTTATTTCTATAAAATATTACATGTATCATAATAAATATTATAACATTACATATACGCAGCAAAATCCACGATTCTTGTTTTAAGCGAAAAAAATCTTGAAACAAGAAAAAAAGACTTATCCGCCACGTAAGAATTTTTTTTCTTGTTTCAAGATTTTTTTTTGATTAAAATAAGAACTTTTTTTCTTGTTTTAAGAATTTTTTTTCTTAAATATTTTTTTTTTCTTGTTTCAAGAATTTTTATTCTTAAAATAAGAATTTTTTTTCTTGTTTCACAATATTTTTGCTCAGAATAAGAACTTTTTCTTGTTTCAAGTATTTATATTTTTAAAATAAGAAATTTTTCTTGTTTCAAGAATTTTTATTCTTAATTTTATTTATTTACTAATAAAAAAAGGCATTTATTTATTAAGTTAGATCAATAATATGGTTGCAGCATAAATTTTTACAAAAATAAACAAAAAAAACAGTTCCCATATAAAAAAAGATTATGTAGCTAAGAACCGCAGCCACTTTAAAATCTCTGAAATTTCTTAACACTTTGGGCTATGCGCACCAGTGCGCTATGGTTTCTGAGACCCGAATTTTTGGCAGAAACCCAATTTTTTTTAGTATTAAAAAACATTTTTTTTATGCGATATCTTAAAGTAAACTCTTGAAAGTAATAATAAAAGTGGTCAATTTTTAAATTAATAGCTCAGCTTGTTTGTAATATTGTTTGTAATATCAAGTTAGAAATATTTTTTACCTCAGCTTAGTTTACAGTGAGTTACCGTAAAGTGAACTGTTCACTTAATAATACATAACTTTTGAAATAATTCTTTTTGATTTCTGTAAAGTGAGTTATTTTTGTTCAGGTATACATTTTTTTTTAATATTTAAGTAAATTAAAATGTTGCATTATTTTGTTAATTATGTAAAAGCAATTAGTAGGGGTCCATAATCATCTTTTTTTAGATTTTTTATACTTTAACCAATTTTTCTTAATTAGTTTTTCATGCTGAAAATCATAATGATTTTTTTCAATTTAATTATTTAGCCTTCTACTTTGATTTTAATAAAAATGGAATATATTGACAAAAAAAGGATGTATTTAAACAGAATAGGCGCCACGACAATAACCTACTTGTATCCCTAAAATAAAGAACCTCATTTTTCGAACTTTTTTTTCATTTTAACATTTCTTTATCTTACTTCAATAATGTCTAGTTCACAGCTAAATGAGCTGCCTTGTAACTTTAATCAAACTAAAATATATAACTCATCTTGCACACCTGATGTAAAGTTTGCTTCTCTTCCATAGTTATCCATTTGTTTTTGTAGCTGGTTTCAACTATATTCCATAGTTTCAGCTTCTTGGACAAATAATTGGACAATAATTATCCAAAACATTTTTTAACTATGCGAATCTCATTTTTTATATGGTTTAAATAATTAAGTATACATCTACTGTTGAAATTAAATGGTCTTTTTCCAAAGTTTTTCAACTGCAACAACTTAATTAGAAAGTTAATACTAATCATATTCCATCATCAACCAAACACATAATACTTTTCTCTTTTTTGAAGTCCTGACCCAGCCGGCATTTAGTCCTAATAAGACGTCTTATGAACGTTTAATAGACGTACTAAACGTCATTTGAACATTCAAAAGACGTCTTTTTAGGACCAAATGCCGGCTGGGGAGGCTAACTTTTGCCAAAATACTCTAGCAAGAATGAAACAATCATTCAACCTCTTTGAGGTATAATTATTAACTACTTCTAGAATTTTTTTAAACTAGCTATCCACTGTGTTTTAGAGTAAAGCAGAAAATTTCAAAGTTTGTTTTTTATAAAGTCTTTTAGGTAGCAGTATTCCTTTAGCCTGTTTATTTTTGTTAAACCTTTAGAATTTAACTGAACCTCTACTGACTGGCACTTTAAAAGAAGATTTATTCTTGACTTTATTAAAGAAAAGTGAAAAAAAAAATGAAATCTTGAAAAGCCTTCTTGATAGCTTGAATAACGATTAAAAATAAATAAAAAAAAGGAAATTAAGATATTTTGAAGCAATCTGTCTTTTTGATTACTTAAAACGTTTTGTTTAGAAAAAGACTTCAGATAAAACTTTTTTTTAAAGCAGTCTGTCGTTTTACTTATTTAAAACGTTTTTTTTAAAAAAAAGACTTCGGATAAAACTTTTTTTTCTCTAAAACGCAACAATTAAAAATCAAATTTATCCAATCAAAATTTGAATAGCATTAATTTGAAATAAAAGTTGCTTTATTTTATACCCAAAGAAACTTTGCAAAGACTTTTATTTTTTATATCGTTAAAATTTTAAAAAGAAGTAGAAGGTCAACCATAAAAAATTGGCAAAAATTTAATTAAGAACAACCGGTTAAACGAGAAATATAGAATTTTGGACTTTCTCCTACAATTAGTGCGTAGAAATATTTCTTCTTTGATTACTTTTTTTAAAACTTTAAGTTGACTTTTAAAAAAAATCTCCGTATTTCTCCAAAAATATTTTTACATGATTAAATTTTGTAAGTTTTCAGAAATATATTCCAGTTTTCAAAACTTGCCCTTAATTGCCCTAATTTAAAATGTCTATTTATTTGCAGTGATGTACCACTTCAAATATGAGAATTTATTTAATGTATTGGCTGGAAAAGAAAGATAAAATTTGAGAAAAACTCAAATGTGATATAACAGTAGTTATTAGCAATAATATTCAAAAGTAAATATATCGTTTGTGTAACTCTTGAAAGAAAATGGTCAGATAGTCAAAGAACAATGGGCCGATTTAAAACTAAAAATTCAGATTGGTTGAAGAGAGAAATTAGATTTACTGATGATGCAATTCCATCAACATCTTCTTTTCATTCAATTCCATCAAGGTCTTCTGGACGACCAAGTTTATCATATGCCAAAAAATCGGATCGGACCAAGAGATTGGAAGCGTTAAATTTATGTCAAGATAATTTGCACGAAACATCTCTTATATTGCAAGCAGCAGGTATGGCTGCACATCAGCAAAAGAAACACGATTTAGTTCTAAAAGAAGTGAACAAAAGTCCATCTTGGCCAACTAAAATTAAAATTAAAAAATTAGCGTCTAAGGCCCTAAGCCTAAGAGTCTGGAGGTCCTAATTAAAGGCCCTAAGTCGTTTTCTGTTTATCTTATAAATTATATTTTTAAAATGTATTACAATTATTACCAAAATATGTTTAAGAAATTACATAAAATGATTGGCTCTTTCTTGAGTCACTCACTAGACCGAGCCCTTTTACTAGTTCGGGCCCCTTGTCGTTGCGTAGTCCGCGTACCTTATATATAAATTAAAATATTTTTAAAAAGTTAACCCATATAAATAGTTACTTACATTCTTGAATAAAAGAAGAGTTTGAGGAGCAAATAGTTAGCGAAAGCAGTTACTCAGAGATTACTGAAACAGAAGAAGAGTTAGTATTAAGGTTTGAGACTTGGAAAGATGAAATTGGAGCAAAAGAGCTTAAGATAAACATGAATAAGACGAAAGTTATGTATTGTTAAGTCAAGAATCACCAAGCAGAAAATACTAGGAAGTGGCAATGTGGAGTGTGTAGGAAGAGAGTTGGACTCTATAGTTTGTACAGTTTGTATGCAATGGTTTCATAAGAAATGTAGATATTGAAGAGATGGTCTCTAAAGATTGTTGGTTTTGAGTGTAGAAAATGTACTTTTGGTAAGTATAGAGAAAAAGTTAAAAAAGAGATTGAAATAAAAAGTGGAGAAGAAGCTGGTGGAACAGAAGAAGCATCTAGGGAAAGAGTATGGTCTGCTTGGGCCAAGTTTTGAGAATTATCTACACTTTTAACAGCAAGTGGTGCTTCATTAATGATTAAATGAAAGTTATACAGCACATGTCTAGAGTGTTATGATGTAAGGCAGTGAAGGTTGATGATGTCCAACTTTTGGAAAGAACAGAAAGTATGATGACTAGATGGATATGTGGTGTGACTTTAAAAGAAAATAAAAGCAGTGATGATTTAAGAAAAAGATTAGGCGTTGTGAGTATATCTGATTAGGTGCGTCAGGTAAGATTTAGGTGGTTTGGGGATGTAAAGCGTAAAGATGCAGATGACTGTTTATCAGCATGTAGAGAGTTGTAAGTTTCAGAAAAAAAGCTAGAGGTACACTGTTAAAAAAATATCGCGTTTTTAACGGAAATTTCCGGCAGCAGATTTTCCAGAAAGTTTCCGTTGTTTTACGGAAAAAAAAAGTGTTGAAAGAAATTTCCGTACAAATTACGATCATCGTAATAACAGATATTTCCGTATTTAAACGGATATTTCCGTTAACATGTGACTGATTTTTCTGTAAAATAACGGAAAATTTCTGGAAAATCTGCTGCCGGAAATTTCCGTTGAAAGCGCAAAATTTACTTTACAAAAAAACTCTTCTAAAAATGTATTCCTTAAACGATAAAAAAAATTAATAACATAAATATATTCTGCAATTATTAATGTCATAAGTTGCTCTAAACATTGCATAAAAAAAAGTTAAATAAAAATTTATATATATATATATATATATATATATATATATATATATATATATATATATATATATATATATATATATATATATATATATATATATATATATATATTATATATATGCTTTTAGAACTAATAACTGTTATCTTTCTTTCTTTTTGCGTTTTTTCTCGCATTCTCTTGATTATAGCCAAACATATCTCTAAACACAAAATAAATTACATAATCATGACATAGATTATAAATTAAAATCTGTGAAATTAAGAAAGATAAGCATATATTGTGAGCCTTCTTTTATTTTTTGCATATGCTTATTTTTTCTTTTTAAATTTTTTTAAGCTTACATATTATTGTATAAGCTTTCACATAAGCATTTTTCGAAGATTTTATATGCTTATAATATAAACTTTAGCTGCTTTGAAAAATTTGTTTTTACCTTAGAATCAACACCAGTAGTCTATTAACATTATGATCGTATCTTGTGTTCTTGATATGATGGACCATAAATAAATTCATCAAATGGTAGACCACAAGCAAAATTATCAGTTTAAAAATAACAATAAAAACATTATTAATATAATATAATAAAAATTAGTTTAAAAAAATTAAACGAACTCTTTAACTTTTTATTAAAATATAAATATTATTATTATATATATATATATATATATTATATATATATATATATATATATATATATATATATATATATATATATATATATATATATATATATATATATATACATTTACTATTTTTCTCTCTACATAGTATCCAGATTCAATACAATGCTTTTTCAGTGCTTCCAGATTCCATATTTATACTTTATGCTTTGTGGATTTTAACTTTTTAAACTTTCCATATTATAGCCAACCATATACCTAATAACACAAATATAAATGCTTTATACAAATGAGTGAAATAACAAATGAAAATATAAATACAGCAAAATCACGAATACAAATGAAAATATGAATACAGCAAAATTGTAAATCTTTGTCCGGAGTTTAAGACATTCAATTCTTAAAACAAAAAATATATTGCTTGTTTTAAGAAATAAACTTCCTATCCTGCAATTTATTTCTTAAAACAAGAAATATATTTCTTAAACTATAAACACTAGATTAACAATATTGCTGTAAATCTTAAAGCAAGAAAAAAATTTCCTACACTGTAATTTATTTCTTAAAACAAGTAATATATTTCTTGTTTTAAGAAACAAATTGGGGGATAAGAAATTTATTTCTTAAACAAGATAAATATTTCTTGTTTAAAGAACTAAATGTCTTAAAATATGGACTAAGATTTAAGATTTTGCTGTGAAGAAATGCTACTTGTAATACTTTTCATCAGTTAAAGATTTATTGTTCAAGATTTATTAGTTAAATCTTATGGATTACTTGGCATTAATTAGAAACTGTTTTAAAATATCTTTTTTCTTCTTAAATTTTTTTTTTTCACATTACTTTGTTAGAACTTCAATGAAAAAAAAAATTTTCTTCTAAAAAGAAAATATATACTTTTATCTCGTTTTCTTTACGTATGAATGTATCTACAAATAGAGTATGCAGTGACTCCTACATCAGCACAACTTGCTCATTTCCAATTAACTCTAATTGATTCCATAGGCAATCATATATCCTGCAATTGAAGTGCACGCAGATGGTTTCAGAAAATAGAGAGTGTGATCCTTCATATATTGCTATCAGATCTAGAAAACATTGTTTTATTTTATGTTGCAGATTTTAAAATATTTTAAGATATTGTTAAAAACATTTCATACTTTTAAATTTTGCTTAATTATATCATTAACTATAAATACTAATATATAAATAATTGTGCAATTTAAATAAATTTTTTGGATAAAATATCTAAAACACTAAAATATTAAATAAGAAAGAAATATAAGATGCAATTTTGAAATAACAAGTAAAACATTCCCAAATTTTATTTATATAAAAATACATAGTTTGTACACACACATATAATATATGTGTGCATAAACTATGTTTTTTATATTAATACATATGTATATATACATATACTATATGTATGTATGTATGTATGTATGTATGTATGTATGTATGTATGTATGTATGTATGTATGTATGTATGTATGTATGTATGTATGTATGTATGTATGTATGTATAAATACTAATATATAAATAATTGTGCAATTTAAATAAATTTTTTAGATAAAATATCTAAAACACTAAAATATTAAATAAGAAAGAAATATAAGATGCAATTTTGAAATAACAAGTAAAACATTCCCAAATTTTATTTATATAAAAATACATAGTTTGTACACACACATATAATATATGTGTGCATAAACTATGTTTTTTATATTAATACATATGTATATATACATATACTATATGTATGTATGTATGTATGTATGTATGTATGTATGTATGTATGTATGTATGTATGTATGTATGTATGTATGTATGTATGTATGTATGTATGTATTTATATATATATATATATATATATATATATATATATATATATATATATATATATATATATATATATATATATATATATATATATATATATATGATGATGTTTACATTTGATAAGTTCTGCAAAAATAAATGTACTATAAAACCATCATTTAAAGTAATAAACCTCAAAATCACTTTAGTAAATAAATAAATACTTCATAGCATTTACTCTACAAGAGATATGCATACTAAAATACGAAGAACATTCAAGCCTTACACCTACAACTTAAATTTATTATATTATATACTAAATGACTAAATACTTTTCTAACTAAAAATGCATCATATTTTCATTTCTGGAAGTTATTCTGATACACCGAAGCACTTGAATTTTGAGAAAAATATTAAATATAAATCCAGAATGATTTAACAACAATAGACAAAACAAACAATACCTTTAAAGCAATAACTTAAGGCCTTCACATTTTATTTATTTGTTGGAAATTACCATTTTTATTTTTAATCCATACTATAGAGCATCACTTGATTCTATAGTATCAACAATAACTTACTATATATAGCCTTTTTACAATGTTGGACTGCTAGAAATAAGGTTTACGTTCAAAATCTTTTAGTGAACTGATCAAAACTGTATGTTTTGTATTTAAATTGTATGTAAAACTGATTTATTTTTAGTAAGTAAAATGTAAAACTGATTTAGTTTTAGTAAAAAGATTTTGAAAATTGTATGTAAAACTTTTACATACAATTTTCAAAATCTTTTAGTGAACTGATCAAACTTTTTCTAAAAACAATCAGAAATAATGAAGAAAAATGATAGCAGATGTATTTATTTTATATAGAATTTTACTATTCTGCATGACTATCCTGCATGAATATTATAAACAAATAAATTTAATAATGTGATAATGTATTCTAATCATAGTTGTAATTTCTGGGGTAATCTTTATAAATTTGTTTTTAAATTTTTTTTTTAATATTTACTTGTAGATAACTTAAATATCTTATTTATAAAGATATTGTAATTAAATATTAAATTGTTATAAAAAGTTTTTAAAACGATGAGAAATTCATCGGTCTTATCATACAAAAGCACTAGTGCTTAAGTAGTGCTATTTTAAAATTTATTTATTTTAAGCTACATATTATAACATGTGAACTTTTTTTCCTTGGCTTTGAAATGATCCATTTTATATATAACATGTTATGTGAGTGCACTTCCATAAATTTAAAATCACTCAAAATTGAACTAAGAATGTACAAGTCTTGTGTCAAGAACCCTACTAAACATAGTCTCGTTCTAAGCAACCCAGGGACCAAATAAAGCTCATGTAATTTTAAAATTAAAAAGAACATAACAGTTTATATTAAAATGCCTGGTGAACTTTCTTCGCCCTGCAGGTGAAACTTCAGAACTTATTTTTGGATATTAATGCGTACATAAAAATAACTTTAAAAAATCTTCAACATGTATTTTCTATATAAATACAACGGAAATTTCCGTATTTGAAAATTTAGCTACAAATACGGAAAATTTTGATAGATACATCCATATATGGACATACGGATATTTTCCGTTGAAATAACGGAATAAATTTCCGTTTTTTTAACGGAAATTTTTAACAGTGTAGGAGCTGGAAAGGATGTGTTTCAGATGATTAAAAAAAGTCACATTTAAAGAAAGAAAATGTTAAAGACCGTATAAGATATAAGATTAATGATGCTGCTACAGCTGCAATAGCAACAGCTACTTTAATTGACAATTGAGTAGTAACTAAGAATAAAAAATCTCAGATAATAACAGAATATAAGGTGTTTTGTTAAAAAGCAAGTGGCTAGTTCAATTAAAACTAAGCATTGTTCATAGGTTTTACATCTAAAATTAATTGGTGTGGATGGCAAGAATGACAAAAATTAGTCTATGTGATGAAATACAATGGGTATTGTATAAAACAACTCAAGATGAACTTCATATCATTTTTACTTATTAAAGTAGACTTTTTTCTGGAAAATATCTGACACATGTTGAAGTAGAAAATTTAATCAGTATAGCTTCAGCAACACTAAATGTTCTTACTGAATATGATACAATTAAATTAGAAGCAATTGCTCTAGATAATAGAAGTTTCAACACTGGTGTTAACAATGGTTTAGTTATTCAATTAGAAAAGATTTTAAAACGTAGCATTCATATAGTAGGTTGCTTACTTCATCATGGTGAGTTACCTCTTTGTCATGTTATATCGGAAATAGAAAAATTAATGATCCTAAAAACTAAAAAGACCCTACTGGTAAACAAATATTTAAAATTTTCATATATGAACAACCTTTTATTAATTCAAATATTTTGTTTAAAAATCTTCAGGGCCGCTCCTGCTGCTTTTTTCAAGAAAAATTTTTAGATGCTATGCTACAAGGCAATGTGAAAGTTGTATGAGCCCGTGCTCTAGATCATATTCTTCAAATTAAGCTATTCAAGAAAATCAATTGGGATTTCAAACAAAAAATCAAAGCTATACCCTTGAACTTCAAAGCTGAAGTTTGGAGCAACTATTTTAGGGTAATCAATCCGGATTTCAAGCCAAAAATCAAAACTAAGGCAGTTATACCCTTGAACTTCAAATTTGAAGTTTGGAGTTTGTTGATGTTAATGTTGCTTGATGTTGATGTTGCTTTATTACAATTTGAACATCCTACTTCATTTTACCTCATGTAAGTTATAACAAACTATTCAAACTGCTAGAAAAATGTATCTGATCTGCCGAACAACTCACAATCGGTAGAAAGAACTGTAAAACTTTCATTTGATGTCTTAAAAAAAGTTTATGGAAAGGTGAAGAGCAAAATGGAAATCAAGAGAAATGCGACCATTGCATACTTTCTTCAAAGTAATTTTATTATCTTTTATGTTACAAGTATATATTTAAAATGACAAACATTTCTGTTAAATACAGTTTGTTGTTTCTTCCAATATGAGAAAAATAAAAAGTTTTTGAATTGCAGTAATAAATGTTAAAAATTAGATAAACCATACGCAGGGCGCAAAGGCGTGACATAAAAATTCTAGCATCCATTAAATTAACTTAAATTAAAATCAGAACTCTCTGTGAATACTCTCAAATAAAAAAGAGTTTTGCAAAAAAAAAAAAAAAAATCGGATAATAATTTTTTCGAGAAAACAGACAAATAGTTGAAAACTTTGAAGTGATTTCTCAAAATTACCTTAAGTCCAAATTAGTTAATTTTTTCGGAACCGTGATTATATATCTGTACCACATAAATTCCAAAATGTGTTCAAAAAAAAAAAAAATGCTTAGACAGTGACCTAATATTTAATAAGGGAAGATATATATAGCATGGAAGTAGCTGAAAAATATATGTATGTGTTTAAAAAATATATACTTATGTGTATGTGTGTGTTTATATATATTTGTGTGTATGCATATAGCTTTTAAAATTTTTACGATATTACGAGAAGTAACCTCTAAGTTGTATTTACTCAAAGAGATTAGCTAATAGTTCATACAGCATTTATAAATTGAAAGCATATAAGAAAGCTTAGCCATTATATGACATTTGCTGCTTGCTATACAGTTTTGTTAATAACCTTGACGCACACTGTATTGGGTAATTAAGAACTAAAAAAAATAAAAAATCTTTAAAAAGTGCATATCGAAATAGACTATACAATAAAAAAACAAAATTAAATTTAAAACCTGATCGGAAAATTTTTTAAAATATTGTGGCAAAGAAATGTACCACCAACTATTTTTTACTTATGCCGTGATCTTTTTTTAAAGAATGATCTGAACAAATTAAAATGCTATTATTACTTGACAATTTTTTTTTTTTTAATAAGTAACGGAATTTCAGTACACAATTTTCTTTGGTGCTTTACAGTTATCGAGTTATACAAGTGAACACGAAACATTAATCAGTTACACGAAATTTTTATGAACTTTTACATCACACCAAATATTTAATATTTTGCCGAATTAAAAATTGAGGTAGCAAAAAGGTCTAATGATATATTGATATATTAACCATGGAAGTATAAAACAGATGGAAGTTCAAATGTTTCGGGACTATGCTTGTAACCTTTTGTTTCGTAAACAATAAGAAAACGACATCAGACTGTACTTAAACGCTTAACCTTCATAAGTTGACGCAAATAGGTACGTTTATCATAGTTTAAAAATATGGTATTTTGACGGTTCGCCAATAATATTCAAGTATAAAACATTAAAAATGGTGCAAGAAACGGCAAACAACAACTTTTTTATAAACTTAATATTAAATGAATGAAGTATTACAAGAAAGAATGGAATTATGATATACAGCTCATGAAACTTTAAACTTTAGTAATTTAGAAAACAATTTTTTTTTGATTTTTGTGTTAAACGTCGTGTTATGATTTGAAACAAGAAAAGAGGCTTAAACTTACATGCTTTTAAATTTTTTTTTTTTTTTTTTTTGCTGTTTAAAATAATTACAACTTTTGAATTTGTAAAATATACACATGGCGGGGGCAAGAAGAAGACAAAATAATCTTATCGCCAAACCCCCAATAATCCGTAAATAATATAAAATCATCAACATCAAAACATCAAATAACATCAAATCTTTTCATTAAAAATGTTTTCAAATATAAAAGAAAAAAAAATATATATATATATATATATATGTATATATATATATATATATATATATATATATATATATATATATATATATATATATATATATATATATATATATATATATATATATATATATATATATATATATATATATATATATATATATATATAATTTAAATAAAGATAATAAACTCTAATGTTTAAAAATGTCTAAAAATGTTTTAATAATAACTGAATACTAAACAAAAATAAAAGATAATTAGGAAATACAATGAAAAAGAATTTAAAATTTTAAAGAAAATTTTCTAGATTTTCATAATAATAAAATAAAAAATAAAAATAAGTTTTTAAACAAACAAATTTTTAAATCTTCGCAAATAAAATGAAAATATACTATACAGTAATTTAAAGGCTAACAATTAAATATAGCTCTAGAAGAAGTCCTTCATGTTTTGATTAAAATTATTATTTCTAATTATTATGCTCCATAGTTAGAGGCCTCTAGCTGTGATAGAAAACTTAGTGGCTTCAAAGTGAGTTTTAGCTTGAATATAATTATTGTTTGCATGTCTAGTAAGATATTTGTGTTGTATTTTTTTAAATAGCGTTTTAAAAATATTTGGCATCATATCGTTATGGATTTTATGCATAAAAATTAAATGATGATATATATTTATTTGGTAAACATTTAAATTTTTAGATTAATAAATAGTGGTTGTGAATGAGAGAGACGGTCTGTGTTGGATATTATTCTTATGGCATGTTTTTGTGTGTTGAATAGTTTGTTTAGTTTTTTTTATTGGTGCTGCACCAAGCAATGTTAGCATAATTGAGATAACAATGGATAAAAGTAAAGTAGATATATTTTAAGCAAGTTTGATTTAGGTAAGGTTTTACCTTATGAAGTATGCCAATATTTTGAGAAATTTTATTTTCGATTAATTTTATGTGGTTTATCCATGTGAGATTTTCATCAAGAAGAACTCCTAGAAACTTCATTGAGTGTTTTCTTTTTATAAATTGATTCCCAATG